ACTCCCTGGATCTGCCACTGCTATAAAGCAGCATGTTTGTCAATAGAAAAAATTAAAATTAGTAATAATATTTCTTTCTTCATTCTCATTAAACTTAGAAATTTGGTCTGGGCCCTCTGGCAGTGCTACCTGATATACATGTTATGGATACTGTACAATTGTGGCCCTTTAACCAACTAACTCCCGTATTGGTTACTTATGGAGCTAATTTAAAAGCTGACTACAGCCAGGTTTGAACCGAGGTATATAAATACTGTAGAAGCAGGAAATATACCTTTCATTCAAACACTTGGTTCTGAATGAATTAAAGTCTGATACATCAGATAACGATCATAAATAAAATAGAATGTCGTCAAGGTTAAAACATTAACAGGGTCTAAAACATAATATTAAACGGTATCTAACTGTACAATGATCAAATAGTTTCATCTGGTTTTGTATCAGTGTGTCTAATATATAATATAGTACAATATTTGCTAAATAATCTATAGAAATACAGTAGTCTTTCAAATACTGAGTTTACATTTTTAAAGCAGAATAATGACTGATTACTTTGTGATATCCTCTTTGAGTACTACATGTACTCTCTAATTTTTTAAGTACTGTAATTACCAGGTCTCCCTCCAATTAAAGACCCCCTCTATTTGAAGACCACCTCCAATTAAAGACCACATTTCTGCGGGCCAGGTTGAATGCCTATCTTTTATCATTATCTGTTCCTCCAATTCCGTCTATCTAGAGAGCAAAGACCATGGTTTTAGCAGACCAAACTGAAAAATTTTCCCTCTAATTAAAGACCACTATAAAATAATTAGTGATGTTTAATGCAATTTTCTCTATAATTGTAATATGACTTACACATAGAAATATTGGGCAGTGTTTTGTTTTTTGTACAGAGTTTTGTGTATTGAATATTCGGCAATGTTAGTGGCGATGTTGTATTTTAATGGAAAGACAAGTTGATTTCTGGCTACCATTAAATGTTTTATTAAGAATAAATAATAGCCATTATATCCCTAAATAGAGAAATCCAGAGACCACATTTACTGCCCAGGGGTTCCAAGTCCCCTGCAGAGTCCTGGTTGGAGTGTCCGGGAAATTGGCAGGAAGGACTCCCACGCTCACTCCCACGAGCAAGCAAGAATCTTCCGAAATATACCATCTCCCGCAAATTCATGATGATATTTGCATGTTTTGGCATGTTTTTACTACTGATTATCAATTATCTCCCAGCAGTTAATGACAATCCTAATGGTTTTTACCATGTACAGCAAAATGTCTATAGATGAAAACTCATTTAAACAGGTCTACTGGATGTCGATTTTTTCAGCTTGGGACCCCTGTAGAGTGCAGGTCTTTAATTGTAGGGATTCTATTAGACCCCAAATACCACGGTTTTGGCACATCAAACAAAAGTTGTATACTAACTTTAAAATATAATGGTTTTAGTGTACAGTTTTTTTTTACAGAATACAGATATCAACTGCTGTAATGTAATATAAAAAGCTAATGTTTTGTGGTACACTGTTCCATATTGAATACTAATAGTAGACGTTGAAATTTGAATTTTTCTAATTAAATGCATGTTTAGGTAATGACAAGTGCAGAACTTAATGTGTGACTTCCAAGAAATGGTAATCAGTTAAACAGCAAACAGTAATCCATTTTAAAACACTTGGAAGAAAACATTCAAACATAATGTATGATATGGTTTTGGCATGACAACTAAAAATGTTCCCTTCAATAATTACATTAAAATATAATGATTTTTATGCAGTTTTTAAAAATATATTATTGATATGATGAAAGATGAAAATAATACATAATATAAGATGATGTTTTGTTTATACAGTGCCCTATATTTAATTATAGTTGGATAGTGCTGTAGTAATATTGTATATTGGATTTAATGTGTGACTACAGTGAAATGGTATATTAAGAATCAATAACAGTATACATTAACTGTACATTCTTTCAGTGTTTCCAATTGGCTTTACTCTGCTTAGGAAAGCTTTGTATTTTAGTCTAAAATATAGAAATAATATGAGTGACTAATATGAACATTTGGTTAATGACATCATCGTAGTGATACTTATCGGAATAAGTACATACCGCAAGAGTTCAATTTAACATTTTTTTTTTGGTCTATACCTTGAATCATAAGCACTGTCCAGATGATCAAAATGTTGTATACTCATATAATTTTGTGGCCTATATATGGTGATGATGTGATGTCATCATGTCCATATTTAGGAATATCACATGTTTTTGTAAAATCAGATTTGATAGTCAGGAGAGTACAGTATTTTTTTTTTGCTAAAATTGGATGAGCTTCTTTTTGAGGCTGTTTTTGCAAAGTAGAAAGAGGGGGTGGGAGGTTTCTTTTCAAAATGCATGCTGTAAATTTTGGGAATTTGTACTATACTACAGTATAAAACAATAAATAAGGCCATTGTACTGTAACTTCAATCTGTATCATGGAGTGCATTAACTGACATTAAATCACCTAAACTACTGTATAAACCAAGGTTTTTTTAAATTTATTTTGTTTTTTTGAAATTCATATACAGTGTACATATATTGTACTTTTTCCAACAGAAGCCTATGCTATCTTTGAGACTAATTTTGCAAACTAAAGTGGGGGCTTCAATTTGACATGGGCTTCCTCTCGATATTACACCCATTGGGCTTCAATTTGAGGTTTTACGGTATTTTACATTCACCCACTAGTCTTGTTCTACAAGGGAGATTCAACTGTATGCAGTTGGTTTCCCATAAAGTGACCCGTGTCCTTGATGACAATCCGGAATGAAGATCAGAGGAAGTTTTAAAAATCAACTGACCTATAGTTTCTTCTCTGGAGTAGTGAATTTATGTAGCAGTCAATGTAAAATACCAGCAAAATTTAATGTCATTTGATGTAAATGTCAACAATAATTATCTGTTTTTTGTTTGGTAGAGGAGTAATCTCAGATAATATGTTATTGTTATAATTGAATCTGAGCAATGGAACATTTCTTGGAGGTATATTTTGGGCTTAAAATATGACCTGCTGGATATACTGTAATTTAGGCTTTATTTTTTGGAATTCTTTTTGATGATTAAAAATTGTATGAGGTGGTAAACGATAATACATGTTTAGAAGATACTAATAATACAACTTAAAATAGCTGAACATGATATAATAAGAAAAAGAATTAATAAACTATTGTGCATTGTCGAAGTATCAAATTAGAAATGTTAGTGCAAATTAATTTATCAAACTTTGTTTTATGTCTGCCTCTCTAAAGAGGATATCTACTTTCTCATAATTTTTGTGATATTGCTTTCACTATGGCTGTTGGTCTAATGAGTTGTAATATAGTCGGGTATTGACCCGAATGAATGATAAACAAATGAATAATATTGGGACATAAAAGTAAGTTTATTGATATCAGTTTTTTGTTGTACAAAGCAAATAGAAAACACAAATCAGTTATTGTTGATTGAGAAAGAAATAAAATATATAAAAAACAACCATTATACATTAATGTACTATAGTATAAACTAATTATAATTGGTAATTATTAGTTTTAATTGTACAAAGAAACACAAGACAACCTAATAATGAATGAGATTTCGAAAGTGCTACTTCTCACCGAAAAGTTGTATGAGAAAAAATAAATATGATAAACCATTATAATAATAGTATAAAAAAGATTTTAATTAGTTTTGTTGAACAATGAAAACAGGGAAAATACAATGATATGAAAATGTAATTGTATTTTCTATCGCTGATGATCACTAGATAGCCATGCCCTCCATAATAGTGCCTACTGCCAGTATTATTATAATTATACTTTACAAAACTGAAATTGATAATGTATTTGCAGTGTCATGTTAAGTTTCTGTTTATAATGATGATGATAAAGTTGTAGTTGGGAGTCCTATAGCCTGGTGGTTAAAGTTGATAGCCTTCAACTAACAATGGCTTTGATACAAAACTAGCCAATAAATGAATGTTCATACATTGAAGAGGTTATTCGATAAATAAATGGCTTTGATATAATTCCTTTACGAATAAAAAAAAAATTCTTTATTTATGTCCTCCTACCTCTTAATTATTGTTATTATTATTATTATTACATAATTATAATCATTATTATAAAGTCAATCATGACGTCATCACTGCATCACATTCCAATAATTTTTCAATTAGTGGACACTTGGCTTGATTTTTTTTAAAGTTTGTGTGCAAAATATAAAAAAACATTATTTTGTTCGTCATCGAGAAGACTTTGCGCACCGCGATGAAAATTGAATTGTAATTGAAAATTATTATACTTAGGTTAGTTTAATGCATTCAAAAGTTTCCTTCAAATTTTTTCAAGCATTAAATCTAACCTTTGTATAATAATTTTCCTATAGTGTACTATGCGGAGCTCTACTAATTGCTTATTATTATTATTATTATTATTATTATTATTATTATTATTATTATTATTATTATAATTATTATATTAATTTTTAAATATTCTCAAGTATATTCATACATTCAAGACTATCATTCAAAAGTAAATGAATAATCATACATTCAATAGATTATCATTCAATAAAAAATAAATATTCATATATTCAATAGATTATCATTCGGTAAATAAATGTATATTCATACTTTTAACAAATTATCATTCAATAAATAAATGAATATATTCAATAGATTATATCATCATTCAATAAATAAATGAATATTCATGCATTCAATATATTATATCATTCAATAGAAAATGAATTCATACATTCAACTGATTATCATTCAATAAGTAAATGAATATTCATGCATTCAATATATTATATCATTCAATAGAAAATGAATTCATACATTCAACTGATTATCATTCAATAAATAAATGAATATTCATGCATTCAATATATTATATCATTCAATAGAAAATGAATTCATACATTCAACTGATTATCATTCAATAAATAAATAAATGAATATTTATACTTTCCATTAGGACAATTGCTACAGTATGGAAGAACCTCCTGAATGAGATGGACAAGGTTGCTAAGCTACGTCTAACATCGGCAGAAACTTACATTTCACAAGTGGCGGAGAGGGCAAAGGCTGAGAGTAGGGCTAAAGTGCAACGAATGAAACGTGTAAGTTTAATTACTAGGAAAGAATAATAGAAATAATAGATGGATGTTTGCTGTACTACAGTATAGTGTTTGGATTATGATTGATATAATAAGTAATCATTAATTAAACAAGCCTATTCTTTTTTTTATTCATACTATTATAAATGTTTTTTATGATGGACTTTGTATTCATTGCCTTTTGTCAGGGTGACAGTACAAAGATCTTCCGTTTAACAAATGCTGATTTTAAAAATAGTTGATTTTACAAATTAATCAAATTGAACATTTAATTAGTGTATTTAAAATTTATGTTTGATTTATGTCATTTATTTTTGTGAAAGTACATCTTTAAATTAATAGTAATAATAATAATGTTACATTTTTAGCACATAATGCCATAGCTTTTATGTGCCTTTACAGAACATAAACAAAAACAGAGAGTAAAAAGTAATAACAGACTGAGGAAAAAAAAAAAAAACTAAATCAAGAAATAACCTAAAACCAACCAGGACTGCCATGCACAATAAGCACTATTCACTGGCAAGTAAAGATCCAACTAGAGACTGGATAAAATAAACCGAAAAAGACAATAATTAACCATTTTACCAACCAAATCAAAGTGATTTTGGATGAAACACGCATTTTGCAGAAACACATGCGTGATTAGAAATTTGTCATGCATTTAGCCCAAGTCTGAATGCGTGATAACGAATTATCACAAATTAATAAATAATATTTGAAATAAAAATTAAATAAATAATATATTTTGAAATTAGAATAAATTGGTTTTTGTTAAAAATATAAAAACGGTCATGCAGTAGCCCAGAGTCATTAGAGAGCTTTTGTTATTTCATTTGAGAATCAATTTACAGAGAAAATTTCTCCTTCCCGACCAAAACAACCTAACCAACCACGCACTTAGTAGAATCTAGTAGTTGTGTGCAGCCTTTGCGCGTTCATTGTTAACAACCAACCGTTGATATGTGACTGGAACCTGGACCCCGGGGCCCTTGCGCATCCCCCCCCCCACCCAACCGGTGTACTGTAGTCATTCATTTAAAATCTGTCAGATTGGTGACTGATTAATGTAAAAATATCAGAGAACTTGGTGGTACATTTCGTCCAATTGTTGTGTTATCAGTATTCCATTCAGGACAATGCACTCATTCTGATTGCATGAATTGAGGTCATAGATTGGTTCAGGATTTCCCTCCAAGTCAGTGTTCCTATATAATAGCCTCATGCCTATTGCATGGTTCACGTCACTGACTCACTATCAAAACAATAGCGATTGTATTGGTGTACCGTTCCATATAGTACTTGGTGTATCATTTCATATTGTACTTGTCTCTGAAAAATACCAATACCATTGTGGAAGTAGGCGGAAGGTTATGTTATGGATTCCACGCATGGCATTTCCGGTTTTGTATTTTAAATGAGGTGTACTGTATATTTATTAGGCCTAATACAGGAATTGCCCCAGATGTGGGATGAATAATGAAGCATTACAAAGCATGGAACCAGCACACTACAATACTTTCATACTATTAGTTATATTTATTACATATGAACAGAAAATTTTGCAACTTTGAGGAATAACATTAAAATTAAATGATTGAGAAGTTTGATAAGGGTATTCAAATAAAAATGGATCATCAATATTTATTTGAAACTTTGTCATATCCTACTGTGGGTGACGTTTGTTGTCGTTGGATTTTGGTGAAATAAAATAAAATAAAGCTAAAATAAAAAGTTATTTCAAAACTGTAAATCCAAATACATAAATCAGTTACTTTGTAGTTAAAGAATGTAGTAAAACAAAATTTATAGAAACTAAAATAATTATTAACTACTTTAATTTTAGGTTATTTTTTTTTTTTATAGAAAAACATACATATACAGTATATGAGATTGAGTTTAAGCACATTTTAATTAGTAAAATATGACAGTTTATAATAATGAAAAAGAGGCATCAATCTGTTGACTATGAATCAAAATAACATATAATATAATAACATTTTGAGGCAGTATTTTTAAATAAAAAACAAGATAAGACATTGTATTGATGAGTTCATTTTTATGACAGTTTTGCGTGAAGTCAAATTCATCAAAATCGAAATTGTCACTATTTTCAAAGAGTATAGCAAGAAGTCCAACTGCCCTGATTTTGTATGTGCGCAATTAAATGTTGAAAAAAGTACTAGCACGATATAAGGGGCACTCTATTAGAATTTGAATAGAGTTCGAACCTCGTCTTTTGAAGAAAGTCCTCTGTTTCGAGTTAGTACTTTTTGAAGTAGGATTACGTTCCAACGAAACCCCGAGAGTCAGAGCTTTTGCAGTTTTATATTCTTTGACTGAATACAGTGCACTTAATAGTATATGTTTGACATGCATGAATTTGTCTATTATGTTTCTATGGCAACTCAATTTTTATTATGAATAGCATATTCTATAATCTGACTCATACTGTATATTGAAATACATGCCATCGTGTTGGGATTCAATATTTCGACATTAATTATGTCATCATCAGGAATACTGTATATGTTACTACTTGTATGTGGATTAATAAAAAATAAGTCAAATTAAGGATAAAATAAAGTTGAATTTTATTCTTTTTTTAAACATTATAAAATTATGATGAGCCGGATGGCTGAGCAGTTTAGGCAGGGACACTGGAATGTGGGCAGACAAGTGTTACTGTACAAGCGAAGTCCACACCTTGTGCGCTTTTAGACTGCTTTCGGTATAAAGTGCTATATAAATCCAACTAATAATACATCTTTCTTCTTTATTATTAAAAGTAAAGTTGAATTGTATGGTTTTTTTTTAACCATCTCGCTTCTTTCTATTCCCTGCAGGTTGAGGAAATAATGACTCTGAACCATGAAGAAATGTACAATACAGTCCATGAGATGACCAAAGCAAAGAAGAATTACATAGAATGTGAAAGGATTGCACAAGATGTTAAAGAAAAAGCAGCTGAGGCAGAAAATAAGTATGTTTTTAAATAATTATATGTGTATTTATTATAGCCTTGTTTACAGCGCAGATCACTGTGATGGTCGCGTTTATCCGTTGATATACAGTAGGTGTTTAAGTGGCCGTGTATACATTGTTAGTAACTCCGCATAACAGATCAGTAACTGCGATGATATATAGAGTTACCTTCGCAGCAGTGTTAACAGAGAGAGAGCAGCTTAGTTCAGTTGGCTAACCTGGTGGTAGCCGCTGTGTTTGTGTTGAACCGTGGAGATCTCTAGGTTCCGGGTTCAATTCCCATCTCTGCCTCTCCTTGTGTTTTAGCTAGAGGGCTGAAGTACAAGTTACAATAGCGCACCGTCTTTGGATGAAACTTTTAAGCCGTTGGTCCTGTGTGCATTGATGGTCCATGTGCACGTTAAAGAACACGTTACACTCTTCGGAAAAGAGTAGGGATTGTCTCCTGATGTACTGCCCAATCACCACCAGAAGGACCTCACTGGAAATAAGTCTTCTTCTAGACTTTCAGTTTACACTGAATAAATCCAAATCCAGATATCATCGGCATGATCTTATTCAAATAAGTTTCTGTTGATAAACAGCGTAAATACAATTATTATTATTAGGAAAATTATGTTTTTATCATACTGTACATTTAAAAACTTTTTTGACAAAGTTTTAAAAACAAGCAGTAATGCGTGCATTTTTTTCAGGTCAGTTCTTATCATGTGATTTCTTAGGACAACCGATGATTTTTTTTATTGTATAGCTGCTTGACTGGAGATTATCAGTGTTACTTCTCCGAAAGCAGATTGCCGTATAAACATGGCTTGTGGCTTGTTATAACTTTGGTATCGAGAAACATCACCACTCTAGATAAATACATAGTGAGAGAAAACAAACATATTTTCCCCATTTCAAGATTCTTTCTGGTTTGAATATTAGTGTCCATAGTTTTGTTTATGATACTGTAGCATTAACTTTTTGGTTGACTTTATTATTTTATTATGGTTATATAGTACCAGATGGTAGAGTTAAGTAGCATATTGGTTATTGTGTAGTAAATTGGATATTAATATTGATAATGATTAAATTATGGTTAATGATTAATTGTTAGTGTAAATATGTTTTCCTCAAAGATTTATTTATGATACTATATCATTAACTTTTTGATTGACTTATTTTATTATATGGTTATGAAATATAGTACCAGCGTGGTAGAATGAAAGTAGCATAATAGTTATTATGTAGTAACGATATGAATATTGATAAATATTAAATATGTTTATATGCATTAACACATAATGATGATGTTGTATGATAATGAAAACTGGTTAAACACCTTGAAAAGTATTTTTTTGAAATATTTGAATATTTAAGAGACATCTGTCAAACATATTATTTAACACTAGGGGTTTGCCCCGATGCTATGGTTCATTTCAGCCCCTGTTGTGGAATGATGGGAACATGTAGCTACCATAAAAAAGTGCCATTTTACGGTCGCTAGGTAGTCATGGACCGTACTCATACGCAAATCAACACAATTACGCTGCGAGTTACGGGTTATTCTCCTACCTTTACCTTTATCTTTACATTTACCAGATTGAAAAAGGGTACAGTTAGATTCTACCAGTCCCGCTCAGCACTAGAGAAAGGCAACGCCAAGTTGGCGAGTCGTAGGGATGCTTGCGAAAAACGTTCCTGCCTTGCAAGAAACGAATACCTGTTGGCGCTGGGGGCAGCCAATGCCCATCAGCTCCGATACCACACTGTCGACCTTAGGGAATTGCTGAGCGTAAGTATTGATATAATTCTATAGGTTTTTAAAAAATTATATAATTGTTCTATCTTTTATACTTCCTCCCTCTGCTATATCACTTGAAGTTACTTCATTAAAAATTCTGTCAGTTAATCTAAATCCATTAATTTAATAATCTTGAGATAATTTGTCCTCTTTTGGCCTTTTCGCCTTAGTCAAGCCATTTACCTTGCTACCACTCTCAAGTCAGCCTCCCGCAATTTATTATTAATAAAAACTAGCAATTATTTTGTTATTACAATGCGAGTTTGCATCAGGAAATATCATAGGAGTGACGTTTTGCCCTACCTGACGTATTAATACGTCAGGTAGGACAAAACATCACTCCTATAGTAATTTGTTTTTTAATGTGTCGTTTCTAAATGAGGAATGCTATATCACACGTCCAGCCAATAGTATGAAAAAGAGCTAAGGATTATTACATTTCAACTCGCATAGATAGATGTGTATTCATCTAGCTCTTTGATACAATAGTTATATCATAAGTTCGTATAACTAATTCCTGTGTACATTGTTAAGTTTATTCCAATGCAGACAAAAAAAAAAGATCACATTAACATTAGTACAGGGTTCGTACGCGTCCTTAAATTCCTTGAATGTCCTGGAAAAAAGAATGAGCATTTTCCAGTACTGGAAAGTCCTGGAAATTTATGATTGTCCTTGAATAATTGTTCAATGTCCTGGAAATTTGATTATTTACACATTTATCGTATTTCGCATGATATACCTAAATTCCAGGTCATGATTAAAATAAACTAATAAATGTTCGTTTTTTTTTGTCTTTTCAATACTCATACACAATTAAAGTACAGACCTTTGCCCGCATACTCTAGCTATTTCTCAAAAGTAGGGCGGCATGTCTATAGTATTACTTTACACACGCGTGTCTCTCGCCCTTTGATGTTACACAAAGGAGACGCGAGGCGGGTACATGTAAGGGCACTAATAATTTTCGGTACTGTGAAATACATGCTAAATTTGGGCATGTATACACTGTCGACTGATTATGTAGTGTACAGTATTTTTTTTTTAGAGCAGACAGGTTTATGGCAGCCGAGGCGTTGAAAAAATGAAAGAGGCAATCTAAGAAAGATGAGTTAGATAATTTAAAGAAGAGTAAGAAAAGATGTATTGCGCTGATATTGAAGGTCTGAAAAAGTAATCCATAAGGTTTGCTGATCAGGCCGAGAGTAAATGTAGTCTGACCATAGAGAAATGTTCTATTTTCTCTATGGTCTGACCGTATCGCCAAAAGCGAACAGCCTGCGCGTCGAACTGCCGCTGAGAAAAAGTAATTACTGGCAGAAATTGAGGCGAACATTGCTTCAAAATTAGAAGAAATAAAAAATATGTAAATCCAGAAACTACCATACCTATCATGGTATTGTTTCAAATAAAGTGGAT